TCCCCCTCTCTCTCTCCCCCCCTCCTCTCTCTCTCTCCCCCCCTCCCCTCTCTCTCTCCTCTCCCCTCCTCTCTCTTTTCCCCCCCCTCCCCCTCCCCCCCCCTCTCTCTCCCCCCCTCTCCCCCCTCTCCTCCCCCCTCCCTCTCTCCCCCCCCCCCTCTCTCTCCCCCCCCTCTCTCTCCCCCCCCCCTCTCTCTCCCCCCCCTCCCCTCCCCCCCCCCCTCCTCTCTCTCCCCCCCCCTCCTTCCTCTCCCCCCCCCTCCTCTCCTCCCCCCCTTTCCTTTTTCTCTCCCCCCCTCCTCCTCCCCCCCCTCCCTCTCACTCCCCCCCCCCCCCCCTCTCTTTCCCCCCCCCCTCCCCTCCCCTCCCCCCCTCCTCTCTCTCTCCCCCTCCCCTCTCTCTCCCCCCTCCCTCTCTCTCCCCCCTCCCCCCTCCCCCCCCTCTCCCCCCTCCTCTCTCTCCCCCTCTCCCCCCTCCTTCTCTCTCCTCCCCCCCCTCTCTCTCTCCTCCCCCTCCTCCCTCTCCCCCCTCCCCTCCTCCCTCTCTCTCCTTCCCCCCCCTTTTCCCCCTTCCCCCTTCCCCCCTTTCCCCCCCCCTTCCTCTCTCTCGTCCTCCCCCCCCTCTCTCTTTTCTCTCTCTCCCTCTCTCCTCCCCCCCCTCTCTCTCTCTCTCCTCCCCCTCCTCTCTCCCCTCTCCCCTACTCCCCCCCCCCTCCTCTCTCCTCTCTCTCTCTACTTCCCCTCCCCCCCCCTCTCTCTACCCCCCCCTTTCCCCTTTTCTCTCTCCTCCCCCTCTCTCTCTCCTCCCCCTACTCTCTCCCCCCCCCCCCCTCCTCCTCCCCTCCCCCCCCCTCCTCTCTTTCCCCCCCCCCTCTCTCCCCCCCTCCCCCTCTCTCTCTCTCCTCCTCCCCCCCCTCCTCTTCCCCCTCTCTCCCCCCCCCCCTCCTCTCTCTCTCCTCCCCCTACCCCCTCTCCCCCCCCCCCCTCCCCCCCCCCCCCCCCCTCCTCTCTCCCCCTCCCCCTCCCCCCCCCCCTCTCCTCCTCCCCCTCCCCCCCCCCCCCTCCCCTTTCCCCCCCCTCCCCCCCTCCCTCTAACTCCCCCTCCCCCCTCCTCTATCTCCCCCCCCCCCCTCCTTTCTCCCCCCCCCCCCCTCCTCCCCTCTCTCTCCCCCCCCCCCTCCCCTCTCTCCCCCCTCCCCCCCCCCCCCTCCCCTCCCCCCCCCCCTCCTCTCTCCTTTCCCCCCCGTCCCTCCTCTCCCCCTCCCCCCCCCCCCCCCCCTCTCTCTCTCTCCCCCCCTCCTCTCTTTTTCTCTCCCCCCCCCCTCTCTCTCTCTCCCCCCCTCCCCTCTCCTCCCCTCCCCCCCTCTTTTCTCCCCCCCTCCTCCTCCCCTCCCCCTCTCTCTCCCCCTCTCTCCCCCTCCCCCTCTCCCCCCCCTCCTCCCCTCTCCCCCCCCCCCCCCCCCTCCCCTCTCCCCCCCCTCCTCTCTCCCCCCCCCCCCCCTCTCTCTCCCCCCCTCCCCCCCCCTCCTCCCCCCCCCCTCCTCTCCCCTCCCCCCCCTCCTCTCCCCCCCCCCCCCCTCTCCTCCCCCCCCTCCTCTCTCCCCCCCCTCCCCTCTCACCCCCCCCCCCCTCCTCCCCCCCCCCCTCTCTCTCCCCCCCCCCTCCCCTCCCCCCCCCCCCCCTCCTCTCTCCCTCCCCTCTCCTCTCTCCTCCCCCTCCCTCTCTCCCCTCTCTCTCCTCCCTCTCTCTCTCTCTCTCTCCCCCCCCGATCCTCACCCCCTCTGCACTCCCCCCCCACGCCCGCCCCCTCACCCCCCCCCTCTCCTCCCTGCACCCCCCCTCCCCCCCCTCCAACCCCCCACCCCCGCATCCCCCCATCCACCGCCCAGCCCCCCCCCCCCCCCCCTCCCCCACCCCACCCCCTCGCCCCCCGCCGCCATAACCCCCACTGCCGTCCGCTCCCCCGCCCTACCGACCATCTCCCCAAGCCCCCCCCCTCCCCTCCCCCACCTCCCCCTGATCTCCCCCACTCCCGGTCACACGGGATGCTGATTGCTGGTATCAGTGCTGTCTACATATCCGGAGTGTGAAGGAACAAAGTGTCAGCTCTTCACCCCACAATCAGAAGATTCACAAAAATGTACACAGTACCTTCATGTCTTCTGTTTCTATAACTCTCCTCTCCTGAAATGCTCTGCGCTGCTGGGACTCCGCTCCATCCTCTATAACTCTCCTCTCCTGAAATACTCTGCACTGCTGGAGGACTCCGCTCCCTTCCTCTATAACTCCTCTCCTGAAATACTCTGCACTGCTGGAGGACTCCTCTCCTTCCTCTATAACTCCTCCCCTGAAATACTCTGCGCTGCTGGAGGACTCCGCTCCTTCCTCTATAACTCCTCTCCTGAAATACTCTGCGCTGCTGCAGGACTCCGCTCCTTCCTCTATAACTCCTCTCCTGAAATACTCTGCGCTGCTGGAGGACTCTGCTCCTTCCTCTATAACTCCTCTCCTGAAATACTCTGCACTGCTGGAGGACTCGCTCCTTCCTCTATAACTCCTCTCCTGAAATACTCTGCGCTGCTGGAGGACTCCACTCCTTCCTCTATAGCTCTCCTCTCCTGAAATACTCTGCACTGCTGGAGGACTCTGCTCCTTCCTCTATAACTCCTCTCCTGAAATACTCTGCGCTGCTGGAGGACTCCTCTCCTTCCTCTATAACTCCTCTCCTGAAATACTCTGCACTGCTGGAGGACTCCGCTCCTTCCTCTATAACTCCTCCTCTCTGAAATACTCTGCACTGCTGGAGGACTCCGCTCCTTCCTCTATAACTCTCCTCTCCTGAAATACTCTGCACTGCTGGAGGACTCCGCTCCTTCCTCTATAGCTCTCCTCTCCTGAAATACTCTGCACTGCTGGAGGACTCCGCTCCTTCCTCTATAACTCCTTTCCTGAAATACTCTGCTCTGCTGGAGGACTCCGCTCCTTCCTCTATAACTCTCCTCTCCTGAAATACTCTGCACTGCTGGAGGACTCCTCTCCTTCCTCTATAACTCTCCTCTCCTGAAATACTCTGCACTGCTGGAGGACTCCTCTCCTTCCTCTATAACTCTCCTCTCCTGAAATACTCTGCTCTGCTGGAGGACTCCGCTCCTTCCTCTATAACTCCTCTCCTGAAATACTCTGCGCTGCTGGAGGACTCCGCTCCTTCCTCTATAACACCTCTCTGAAATACTCTGCCGCTGCAGAGGACTCCGCTCCTTCCTCTATAACTCTCCTCTCCTGAAATACTCTGCGCTGCTGGAGGACTCCTCTCCTTCCTCTATAACTCTCCTCTCCTGAAATACTCTGCACTGCTGGAGGACTCCGCTCCTTCCTCTATAACTCTCCTCTCCTGAAATACTCTGCACTGCTGGAGGACTCCGCTCCTTCCTCTATAACTCCTCCCCTGAAATACTCTGCACTGCTGGAGGACTCCGCTCCTTCCTCTATAACTCTCCTCTCCTGAAATACTCTGCACTGCTGGAGGACTCCTCTCCTTCCTCTATAACTCCTCTCCTGCTCTTTCCTGGGCCGGATTGCCGGATCACCAGTGGACTTGAGTTGTATTTCAGTTCTTATGCAGGCCATAGACGGGTCGAAAACCGGCCTTTTTAAAAAAAAAAAAAAAAAATGAAAAATCGGTTGTTTGATCAGCTGACGTTACCACCAACGGTAAAAAAATCGGCCAATTTTTGTCCCGTCTACGGCCGGCATTTAATGACTTCTGTCCCTGCAGAGCTCCGCTATCATATTTGACATGAAAGTCTTGCGGTTGCAACAATGTATCCATTTGTATCTATTTCGGATCCAGATGTTTTTATTCGGATACAAATAGATACATTGTTGCAACCGCAAGACTTTCATGTCAAATATGATAGCGGACTGGAATTCTTCTTTTTCTTCTTCCAGGCCACGGCTCATGTGCAGATTTTTTACCGTTAAAATGATTGGCTGATTTGCCGGCAAAATCGGCCACGAATTTTCAAACTTGACCGATAAAACAAAATGTGCCAAAACCCCGAAAAATGGCCGACCAATTAACCCACTAATGGTGCGAAAATCTGCCGATTTTCGACCCGTCTATGGCTGGCATTAGTCTGGCGTCTCTGTTTTGTTCTGCAGTAGATAGGAGTGTGGCTCCATCACAGGGGCCCCGGGGCCCCAGTGGTGACAGGTGTGCCATAAATGAGATGCAGGAAATGTCAGTGTGCTAATCATGAAAATCCCTATTGATTGTATAACGGCTGTATTGTTTACCGCGGCGATGTGGAGCCCCCCACCTATGGGAGAGCGAGGAAGGGGTTTTCTTCTAATGAGCTGGCTGAGCCGGCCGCTCTGAGGCCCGCCGCACCATCACCACGGGGCCCGACCGCAGCATCACCACGGGGCCCGACCGCAGCATCACCACGGGGGCCCGACCGCAGCATCACCACGGGGCCCGACCGCAGCATCACCACGGGGCCCGGCCGCAGCATCACCACGGGGCCCAGCCGCAGCATCACCACGGGGCCCAGCCGCAGCATCACCACGGGGCCCCGCCTCTAATTAGACCATGAGGGGAGGGGGGAGGAGACCCCATACCAAGCCGCACCGCTGCAATCCACAGCAACATCCCTCCGCTGTCCGTCCATTGATGATCACATGTCGGCACCGACCTCCATATGTGCACAGAGCACTGGCGGCATGCTGAAATGTCCCAACCAGTTACCACTCTGGGGCACACTGGGGGCCTGAGACACCCACTGGCTTCTATCTCCAGGGGGCTCCATGGGCAAGATCTATCACCCCATAGTTCCTGGATGTGCCCACCTTGGGGGGCCTTCACTTCTCTGGGGAGCCCCTCATATTAGGCACAGCAGGTGTAAAGCACGGGGATGGGGGGAACCCCTCATAATGGGCACAGAAGAGGAATCCACAGTCAGGTGTCTACATTCCGGGGTGACTCCATGTCTTCTCTTCCAGGAGAGGAAGCTGTGTGCTCACCCGTACGTGGAGATCTACAAGGGAGACAAAATCATCTTCATGTGTCCTCTGTCCCGACAAGACGACTTCTATGTACCGGAAATGAAGGAGCTTCTGAGGAAGGAGAGAGGGGAGCCGCCACCACCCGAGACTACAGGTACACCTCCCTCATTACCATCACCACCCGAGACTACAGGTACACCTCCCTCATTACCATCACCACCCGAGACTACAGGTACACCTCCCTCATTACCATCACCACCCGAGACTACAGGTACACCTCCCTCATTACCATCACCACCACCCGAGACTACAGGTACACCTCCCTCATTACCATCACCACCCAAGACTACAGGTACACCTCCCTCATTACCATCACCACCCGAGACTACAGGTACACCTCCCTCATTACCATCACCACCCGAGACTACAGGTACACCTCCCTCATTACCATCACCACCCGAGACTACAGGTACACCTCCCTCATTACCATCACCACCCGAGACTACAGGTACACCTGCCTCATTACCATCACCACCCGAGACTACAGGTACACCTCCCTCATTACCATCACCACCCGAGACTACAGGTACACCTCCCTCATTACCCATCACCACCCGAGACTACAGGTACACCTCCCTATCACCCTCACCCGAGACTACAGGTACACCTCCCTCATTACCATCACCACCCGAGACTACAGGTACACCTCCCTCATCACCATCATCACCTGAGACTACAGATACACCTCCCTCATCGCCATCACAGTACCACCCGAGACTACAGGTACACCTCCCTCATTACCATCACCACCCGAGACTACAGGTACACCTCCCTCATTACCATCACCACCCGAGACTACGGTACACCTCCCTCATTACAACATCACCACCCGGTACTACAGGTACACCTCCCTCATTACCATCACCACCCGAGACTACAGGTACACCTCCCTCATTACCATCACCACCCGAGACTACAGGTACACCCCCTCATTACCACCAACACTCGAGACTACAGGTACACCTCCCTCATTACCACCACCACACTCGAGACTACAGGTACCCTACCCCTCATTACCATCACCACCACGAGGCTACAGGTACCCCTACCACACCACCACTTGAGACTACAGGTACCCTCCCTCATTACCATCACCACCACCCGAGGCTACAGGTACCCCTCCCTCATTACCAACCACCACCACTTGAGACTACAGGTACCCCTCCCTCATTACCACCACCCCGAGACTACAGGTACCCCTCCCTCATTACCACCACCACCACCTGAGACTACAGGTACACCTCCTCATTACCACCATCACCACCCGAGACTACAGGGTACCCCCTCCCTCATCACCACGCAAGACTACAGGTACCCCTCCCTCATTACCATCACCACCCGAGACTACAGGTACACCTCCCTCATTACCATCACCACCCGAGACTACAGGTACCCCTCCCTCATTACCATCACCACCCGAGACTACAGGTACACCTCCCTCATTACCATCACCACCCGAGACTACAGGTACACCTCCCTCATTACCACCAACACCGAGACTACAGGTACACCTCCCTCATTACCACCACCACCACTCGAGACTACAGGTACCCCTCCCTCATTACCATCACCACCCCCGAGGCTACAGGTACCCCTCCCTCATTACCACCACTTGAGACTACAGGTACCCCTCCCTCATTACCATCACCACCACCCGAGGCTACAGGTACCCCTCCCTCATTACCACCACTTGAGACTACAGGTACCCCTCCCTCATTACCACCACCCGAGACTACAGGTACCCCTCCCTCATTACCACCACCACCACCTGAGACTACAGGTACACCTCCTCATTACCACCATCACCACCCGAGACTACAGGTACCCCTCCCTCATCACCACGCAAGACTACAGGTACCCCTCCCTCATTACCACCCGAGACTACAGGTACCCCTCCCCATTACCACCATCACCACCCGAGACTACAGGTACCCCTCCCTCATCACCACCCGAGACTACAGGTACCCCTCCCTCATCACCACCCGAGACTACAGGTACCCCTCCCTCATTACCACCACCAGAGACTACAGGTACCCCTCCCTCATTACCACCATCACCACCCAAGACTACATGTACCCCTCCCTCATTACCACCCGAGACTACAGGCACCCCTCCCCATTACCACCATCACCACTCGAGACTACATATACACCCTCCCAAAAACCTAACTTTTGATCATGCCCTGCCCCCTTGAGCATGTGAATGTAAGCCCCGCCCCAGGCACATGATTGTAGGCCCCGCCCCAGGCACATGATTGTAGGCCCGCCCCCAGGCACATGTGATTGTAAGCCCGCCCCCAGGCACATGTGATTGTAAGCCCGCCCCCAGGCACATGTGATTGTAAGCCCGCCCCCAGGCACATGTGATTGTAAGCCCGCCCCCAGGCACATGCGAATGTAAGCCCCGCCCCCAGGCACATGCGAATGTAAGCCCCGCCCCTAGGCACATGCGAATGTAAGCCCCGCCCCTAGGCACATGCGAATGTAAGCCCCGCCCCCAGGCACATGCGAATGTAAGCCCCGCCCCCAGGCACATGCGAATGTAAGCCCCGCCCCCAGGCACATGCGAATGTAAGCCCTCCCATCAGGGGGTGCCATTGTACATAACAGTCCCTCACACTATGTTACCTGAAGACTGAGGGCATCTTGTGGACAAATAGCAGTACTGCAGGTGGAGCTGCACAATACAATCCACAATGGCAGCCGAAGCGTCTGTCAGCCTGCTGGAACATTCTGGGGGGTGGGGCGTGAAGTCTCCTCTCTGCGGGGGTCACATGTTTGATTCTTTTTATTATAGCAGCATTTTAGTCTCTGAGCCCCCCGCAGATGTGTTGGTGCCCCGCCTTCCTGCCGCCACCATGGGGGGGGGGTGGGAGACATTGCAGAGTCAGGATGCCCCCCCCCCCCCGCCGTCCTCCAGCTGTGTCAGGCACAATTAGCATTTATTTTGCACTTAATGACACCCCGGAAGCCGTGTCACCAGCCACGGGCAGCAGCTGCCACTGTCACCTCGACGTGTTGCGTCTCCCTCTGCCCCGGCTCCAGGCGTTCTCCGCTCGCCAAGGTCGTCCTCTCGTCCTGCGCGGTCGCACGACGCGCGACTTAATATGCAGGCGGGTGGGCAGGACGTGCCGATGACACCCCTCATCCTCTCCCACTATTATTACCCGCGTGTGTTATTAGGCAGCTGCGCGCTGACGCATGCCGGGGGGGGGGGGGGGGGGCGGGGGCAGGACAAATGGCAGGTTATAATCTGCCGGGGGTGGGGGACACACCTGTGACGGGGCCGTCGTGAGATGTGAAGCATGTTCTAAAATTAAGGAATCCGTGACAGAAGAGTCACAGAAATGGGGGTGGGGGGGAGGATTGGGGGGGGGGGGGAGTTTGGAAAAGCAAGGCAAGCTGTTTGGGAAACTTCTTAAAGAGGATGTTCAGTCTTCAGAAATCCGTTCACTGTATGTGTCCAGATCCGTGTGAGCAGGGCCTCCGGGGGGGGGGGGGCTGGGTGCCTAGGGGTTAGCGGGGTCAACACCAGGCCAAAAATGTAACCGGTTTCCTCATCTTTTTACCATTTGTCACTTTCCTTCCACTTCACAATTATGTGCCACTTTGTGTCGGCCTATCGCATCCCATCCCGATAGATACATTGTAAACATGACATGATAACATGGGGGGGGATACATTGTAACATGACAACATGGGGGGGGGCAGGATACATTGTAACATGACAATATGGGGGGGGGGGGGATACATTGTAACATGACAATATGGGGGGGATACATTGTAACATAACATGGGAGGGATACATTGTAACATGACAACATGGGGGGGGATATATTGTAACATGACAACATGGGGGGGGCAGGATACATTGTAACATGACAATATGGGGGGGGATACATTGTAACATGACAATATGGGGGGGGATACATTGTAACATAACATGGGAGGGATACATTGTAACATGACAACATGGGGGGGGGGATACATTGTAACATGACAACATGGGGGGAAAATTACGGGGGGGGTGGGGATATTTTTTTGTAACGTGACAACATGGGGGACATTTCGGGGGGGGGGGGGGGAATACATTGTAGCGTGACAACATGGGGGACATTTCAGGGGGGGAGGGGAATACATTGTAATGTGACAAACATGGGGGACATTTCGGGGGAGGAGGAAGACTTTCTCACGGCCCTATAGGGGGAAGGTGTGAGCTGGAATTGGGGGTGCAAAAAAGGTGTGGATGGAGGAGTGGCAGAGGGTGTATATATGCCATAGAGAGATACAAAGTAACATTGTTTATAAACATCGATCAGACGGGAGATGGAGAGATACAGAGTAACATTCCATTGTTTATAAACATCGATCAGACGATGAGATGAACAATGTTACTTTGTATCTCTCTATCTCCTGTCTGCTCGATGTTTATAAACAATGTTACTTTGTATCTCTATCTCCTGTCTGATCGATGTTTATAAACAATGTTACTTTGTATCTCTCCATCTCCCGTCTGATCGATGTTTATAAACAATCTCCCGTCTGATCGATGTTTATAACAATGTTACTTTGTATCTCTCCATCTCCCGTCTGATCGATGTTTATAAACAATGTTACTTTGTATCTCTATCTCCCGTCTGATCGATGTTTATAAACAATGTTACTTTGTATCTCTCTCCCGTCTGATCCAATGTTACTTTGTATCTCTATCTCCCGTCTGATCGATGTTTATAAACAATGTTACTTTGTATCTCTCCATCTCCCATCTGATCGATGTTTATAAATCTCCCGTCTGATCGATGTTTATAAACAATGTTACTTTGTATCTCTCGATGTTTATAAACATCTCCCGTCCCGTCTGATCGATGTTTATAAACAATGTTACTTTGTATCTCTATCTCCCGTCTGATCGATGTTTATAAACAATGTTACTTTGTATCTCTCTGTATTGAAGGACTGTAGGCTGCAGTATGTGACTTTGTCTTGGGTTCCCGTAGATGCAGAGCTGGACCCCCTGTTGCTGGAGGATCAGCTGAGTCTGGAGTTGGTTTCGGAGAATCAGGAGAAGGAGAGTGAATCCGTCCAGCAGAGAGAACAGACGGACAGCGCGAGAAGAGTGAGAAGAGTGCCAGCGAGTCGGGGGCCAGCGCCTCCTCCTTTGAAGAGCTGGACTTGGACGGCCAGGCGTCGGGCGCAAAGAGTCAGCCGGACGATCAGACGGCGTGGAGTAAAATGCCGGAAACGTGGGACAAGGAGAGTCCCGAAGAATGACAGAGAGAGACTGAGGCTGTGCCGGACTCCGCGCTGTAGACATCCTCAGGAATAGTTAGCGAGCTTTAAGCACTCGTACCCACCGAGTCAGACGTAGGAGGACGAGGAATGTGCGGCAGATGTGAGTCTCCTCCGCTTAGTGTACACAACGGCTGCTTCCTTCACAAAGATCTTACTTCATGACGTCATATTTATTTATCAGGAAGCCCCCCCCCCCCCCCAAGACACCCATAACCGGGGATATATTTTCTTTAATGAGAAGGGAATTCCCTGTAGTCTAGGAACCCTATAGGGGCCCCCCTGTGGGGGATGCACTGCAGGCTAGGGACCGGACAGGAGATGCAGCAAATTCCCTGCAGTCTAGGGACCGGACAGGAGATGCGGCAAATCCCCTGCAGACTAGGGACCGGAGAGGAGATGCGGCAAATCCCCTGCAGACTGGGGACCAGAGAGGAGATGCGGCAAATCCCCTGCAGACTAGGGACCGGAGAGGAGATGCGGCAAATCCCCTGCAGTCTAGGGACCGGAGAGGAGATGCGGCAAATCCCCTGCAGACTAGGGACCGGAGAGGAGATGCGGCAAATCCCCCTGCAGACTAGGGACCGGACAGGAGATGCAGCAAATTCCCTGCAGACTGGGGACCGGACAGGAGATGCAGCAAATTCCCTGCAGACTAGGGACCGGATAGGAGATGCAGCAAATTCCCTGCAGACTAGGGACCGGACAGGAGATGCAGCAAATTCCCTGCAGACTGGGGACCGGGACAGGAGATGCAGCAAATTCCCTGCAGACTGGGGACCGGACAGGAGATGCAGAAATCCCCTGAAGACTAGGGACCGGAGAGGAGATGCGGCAAATCCCCTGCAGTCTAGGGACCGAGAGAGGAGATGCGGCAAATCCCCCTGCAGACTAGGGACCGGACAGGAGATGCAGCAAATTCCCTGCAGACTGGGGACCGGACAGGAGATGCAGCAAATTCCCTGCAGACTAGGGACCGGACAGTTGATGCAGCAAATTCCCTGCAGTCTAGGGACCGGATAGGAGATGCAGCAAATTCCCTGCAGTCTGGGGACCGGACAGGAGATGCAGCAAATCCCTGCAGTCTAGGGACCGGACAGGAGATGCAGCAAATTCCCTGCAGTCTGGGGACCCGGACAGGAGATGCAGCAAATTCCCTGCAGTCTGGGGGACCGGACAGGAGATGCAGCAAATCCCCTGCAGTCTAGGGGACCGGACAGGAGATGCAGCAAATCCCCTGCAGACTAGGGACCGGACATCCAGCTTACAGGGAATGCAGCAAGTCCCAGCATTCCTTGCAGTATGGGGCTCCTCCCCTCCGGACAGGACCGGATGCAGTGAACTTTGTAGGGACACGTAGGGATTATGCCGCTCCCATCCAGCTTACAGTGGCTTACGGAACTACAAGTCCCAGCATGTCCTGCCAGTCATGCATATACAGGCTCCTCCCCTCCAGTCTTGCACAGGTGCGCCGGCTCCTCCCCTCCAGTCTTGCACAGGTGCGCCGGCTCCTCCCCTCCAGTCTTGCACAGGTGTGCCGGCTCCTCCCCTTCAGTCTTGCACAGTGTGTAGTCTTGCACAGGTGTCCTTCCCTGGACTGTAGCGGCTTCCTCTGATGTCACCGCACACTGGGAGCTTCTCACAATGTGCAGTAGAAGCTGCAGCCAGTCAGATGGAGCTCCGCCTCATCTCTTAGCTGGAGGACAGCCAGCATCATCTAGCCTTTTCCTCCCCAGCCTGACTGTCCCTGAGCATCACCTATGGGCAGTCTGCATGCCAATACAGTCTGCCTAGGAATGCTCACTCCTCCAGACTGACCCCCCCACCTGTCAAGGTATTTTGATATTTGCATAACTCCTCCCACTGCTTGCATCAGGGCTGAGGACTCTTGAGAGGAGTACTGAGGCGGGGTGCTCTGATGGTTTCAAGAAGCTCTGTACACCCTGTCAGCCCCTCCCACCACCTATGATCTACCTGCATTGCATAGAGCAGCACAGGGACCCAGTGATGATAATACTGGGTCTAAAAAAAGATATGTCATGAAAATGAAAAGGATTTGTCAATAATAATTTGGGGAAGGGGCAGGGAAGACGGAATTAAATCAGATTAAAGCTGGACAAGTACCATGGAGTTTGGCTTTAGCACTGTTGGTGAGAGGTAAGGGCTCAAACTCCATGCAGTCATCAGCTTTCCTCTAGAACAGGGGTCTCCAACCTGTGGTTCGGGGGGGCCGGACGTAGCTCTTTGCTTGCCTTTATCTGGCCCGTGGGGCACTGTTCCTCCTACTGACATTAACAATGGGGCATGATTAATGCCACTGACACCAATGATGGGACACTATTCCTCCCACTGACACCAATGATGGGGCACTATTCCTCCACTGACACCAATGATGGGGCACTATTCCTCCACTGACACCAATGATGGGAACTATTCCTCCCACTGACACCAATGATGGGAACTATTCCTCCCACTGACACCAATGATGGGGCACTATTCCTCCCACTGATACCAATGATGGGGAACTATTCCTCCCACTGACACCAATGATGGGCACTATTCCTCCCACTGATACCAATGATGGGGCACTATTCCTCCCACTGACACCAGTGATGGGGCACTGTTCCTCCCACTGACACCAATGATGGGGCACTATTCCTCCCACTGACACCAATGATGGGGCACTATTCCTCCCACTGACACCAATGATGGGGCACTATTCCTCCCACTGACACCAATGATGGGCCCTATTCCTCCCACTGACACCAGTGATGGGCACTATTCCTCCCACTGACACCAATGATGGGGCACTATTCCTCCCACTGACACCAATGATGGGGCACTATTCCTCCCACTGACACCAATGATGGGCACTATTCCTCCCACTGACACCAATGATGGGGCACTATTCCTCCCACTGACACCAATGATGGGGCCTTGTTCCTCCCACTGACACCAATGATGGGGCACTGTTCCTCCCACTGACACCAGTGATGGGGCACTGTTCCTCCCACTGACACCAGTGATGGGGCACTGTTCCTCCCACTGACACCAGTGATGGGGCACTGTTCCTCCCACTGACACCAGTGATGGGGCACTGTTCCTCCCACTGACACCAGTGATGGGGCACTGTTCCTCCCACTGACACCAATGATGGGGCACTGTTCCTCCCACTGACACCAATGATGGGCACTGTTCCTCCCACTGACACCAATGATGGGGCACTGTTCCTCCCACTGACACCAATGATGGGGCACTGTTCCCCCCACTGACACCAATGATGGGGCACTGTTCCCCCCACTGACACCAATGATGGGGCACTATTCCTCCCACTGACACCAATGATGGGGCACTATTCCTCCCACTGACAACAATGATGGGGCACTATTCCTCTCACTGACACCAATGATGGGGCACTATTCCTCTCATGGGCCCCAGTGATGGGGCACTATTCCTCCCACTGACGCCAATGATGGGGCACTATTCCCTCTCACTGACACCAATGATGGGGCACTATTCCTCTCACTGACACCAATGATGGGACACTATTCCTCCCACTGACACCAATGATGGGGCATTATTTCCTCTCACTGACACCAATGATGGGACACTATTCCTCCCACTGACACCAATGATGGGGCACTATTCCTCCCACTGACACCAATGATGGGGCATTGTTACCAACGCCAGGCCATTTTCTCCTCCCAGTGACTACAGTCCGTCCTCTTTAAAGTCCGAAGGATAGTAAACTGGCCCCTCATTTAGAAAGTTTGGAGACCCTCCATAGCAGGTGATGAGCTGCGGGTTGTGCGGTGCTGATTGCTCCTCGTTATTAGGATGAGGACAGAGAAGAAGAACCTCAATTATGCCTTAAGTCAGCTCGGGATTCCTCCCCGTGTGGCTCCCAGCACCCTCTACACAGGGGCCCCGTTCTAATCTGCCTGAACGCCGTCTAGATTATCCGCTTCCTGGAAATCATTCAGATGTCGCCTGATTCATATATTTCATTAAATTATTTTACATGATTGTGATACGAGGTTCGCTCTTTGGTGTCTTTCTGCCATTTAGTACATGAGAAGGTGAGTGCGCCCTCCGCAGGTCACTGTGAGAATGACTGTCTCCTGGGGTACAAAGTGCCGTTACAATTCCATCTTCACAGCACAGGACAGATGGGATTTTCAAGGTGTTGTCCCGTATTCTGCATTCACAATGTTCTTTCATATAAATATTTTTATTTAACCCCTTCCCGTCCGGCCCATGTATATAAACGGCCAGATGGTGGCAGTGCAGGGGCGGGTGGTTGTTTATAAATGGCCTCCCCGCCCCCTGCCTGTGCGCGCCCCCTGGGAGCGCGCAGCACCACGATCCGGTGCCCGCTGTGTCCTCTGGACACGGTGGAACACCGATCGTTGTACGGGACCTCTGTGCAAGGTCCTGATCATGTGATCGCTGATTGGCCAATCAGCGATCACATGCAGAGTAGTAAGCAAAATGTCACTTCTGACATCATTGGTTACTACGTGTGAAATCTGTGAATGATCACATGGTACAGGGCCATTCACAACAGCCTCGTACCATGTGACAAGCTGTGACCAATCACAGCTCACACAGTATTTCTCAATGGCTGCAAGAATGCAGCCAGAGAGAAGGAGAAATGATTCCTCTTACAGCCTTTATGGGTGTAACAGCAATCAGTGTAAAAAAAATAAATCTTCATCACACCCCCCACAAGTAGTACAGTGTCACCATGGTGACCCTACTGCTAGGGTGACAGTGTGTAAAAAAAAACCCATAAATAATTAAATATAAAAAAAAAAAAAATAAACGTCAAAAAAAAGTTTAAAAATTATAATTTTTGGTTATAAACTAATTTGGGTTATTTTCTTTTACTAAAAAGATAACGGAATAAATTTTGGCCAAGATTTACAATGAAATATTCTTTATTTGCAAAATTTTATAACACTTTTTTTCAAAATTTTTGGACTTTTTCATTTACATATATATATAAAAAAAAGCTTTATTTTGGTGGTATTTATTCACCACTGGGATTTTTATCTGTCTCAAAAAAAATGCTAAAAAATTCACATGGGTACAGTGTTGCATGACCGCGCAATTGTCATTCCAAGTGTGATAGCGCATAAAGCTGAAAATTGTCCTGGACTGGAAGGGGGTGAAAGTGTCCGGACTGGAAGGGGGGAAAGTGTCCGAACTGGAAGGGGGGAAAGTGTCCGAACTGGAAGGGGGGAAAGTGTCCGAACTGGAAGGGGGGAAAGTGTCCGAACTGGAAGGGGGGAAAGTGTCCGAACTGGAAGGGGGGAAAGTGTCCGAACTGGAAGGGGGGAAAGTGTCGGGACTGGAAGGGGGGAAAGTGTCGGGACTGGAAGGGGGGGGAAAGTGTCGGGACTGGAAGGGGGGGGAAAGTGTCGGGACTGGAAGGGGGGGGAAAGTGTCGGGACTGGAAGGGGGGGGAAAGTGTCGGGACTGGAAGGGGGGAAAGTGTCGGGACTGGAAGGGGGGGAAAGTGTCGGGACTGGAAGGGGGGTGAAAGTGTCGGGACTGGAAGGGGGGGAAAGTGTCGGGACAGGAAGGGGGTGAAAGTGTCTGGACAGGAAGGGGGGGAAAGTGTCTGGACAGGAAGGGGGTGAAAGTGTCGGGACAGGAAGGGGGGAAAGTGTCCGGACTGGAAGGGGGTAAAAGTGTCGGGACTGGAAGGGGGAAAGTGTCCGGACTGGAAGGGAGGGAAAGTGTGTCCGGACAGGAAGGGGGTGAAAGTGTCAGGACTGGAAGGGGGGAAAGTGTCTGGACAGGAAGGGGGTGAAAGTGTCCGGACTGGAAGGGGGTGAAAGTGTCCGGACTGGAAGGGGGTAAAAGTGTCGGGACTGGAAGGGGGGAAAGTGTCCGGACTGGAAGGGAGGGAAAGTGTCCGGACAGGAAGGGGGTGAAAGTGTCAGGACTGGAAGGGGGTGAAAGTGTCCGGACTGGAAGGGGGTGAAAGTGTCCGGACAGGAAGGGGGGGAAAGTGTCCGGACAGGAAGGGGGTGAAAGTGTCCGGACTGGAAGGGGGTGAAAGTGTCGGGACTGGAAGGGGGGGAAAGTGTCGGGACAGGAAGGGGGTGAAAGTGTCTGGACAGGAAGGGGGGGAAAGTGTCTGGACAGGAAGGGGGTGAAAGTGTCGGGACAGGGAATGGGGGGGAAAGTGTCGGGACTGGAAGGGGGGGAAAGTGTCGGGACTGGAAGGGGGGGGGGGAAAGTGAGAGCACCCTGTCCTGAGCTCAGATATTTTCTCCTGCCGGGAGTATGGAGGCTCCAGCTGTATGGGGGCTGTTACTACGTTCTTCATCAGACCATATGGGAATGTAGTACTCCGGGGAGGGGGCTGTAGGGAACACAGCCACTAGCGGAATGTATAAAACAACAAAGGGACGGAGCTACAAATACAAAACTATAACCAGATGTAAAATAAATAGTACATGAAAATAATAAATTAAAATGTCCAGAAAAAAGAGGAAAATAAAATCAAAAGTCTCTTGTGACACACAAAGGTTCAAATAGTTCAAAAGAACGCCTTGTGGAATCCGCCATCACCAGCACCTCAAAACATACTGCTTCTTACCAGATTCAGCACCACAAGCGGCCCCCCCCCCCCCCCCCCCCCCCCCGAGCTGCACTCGGGAATACACTGCAGCGTTGCTCCGGGATCCCTCGATCACTTACCTTGTCCTGCGCTCCCGCGATGTCCCCC